ATAATTCTCTTTTCAGTTCAATCGATTGTTAATACTTATGATCGTTATATTCTTAATTTTAAATTTATCTCTTTCACTTTGATTAATTTGATTATTTTTATAAAAATTGAATCATTTCAAAGTGTATTTTGGATTGAATATTAAAAAATTTGGCCTGTTGCTTGTAAACTTAATAAAGATTTATCATATACATTCGATATCAATCTGTGAATTTATTTTCGAATAAAGGAATAAATAACATTTGCATTCATACTAGTTTTTATCATACATTACAACTATAGTCAAGCTTCACTAGCAGAGTGAGTAAGTATGATAAAAAGATTTTTAAATTATTATGTCAGCTTAAAAAGGTAATTCTATTTAAAGTTCCAAATTTCTTTTTTCCTCGAGTAAGAGTCAGAAGTTAAATGGAATCCAATTAAATTTCATCTTTTTAGTTTATTTTTATCACTAAACTTCTTTTACATTTTAATCTATTATAGATAGAAAGAAAGTCCAAGATGCATTGAATCTTCTAGTCTGTTTAGATTTAACATCAGTAGATACAGTTTAATGTGTAAAAAATACATAATAAAAAGAATTATCTATTTTTTTTTCATTATGCATACATATCTGGATTATAATAAAATAATTCATAAAAAAAACTATATAAGGTCTAAGAGTGTTCGAAAGTATGAAATATATACTGTTTGCAGATAGTGGATACTGATCTTGAATGACTTTCTTAAAAGTATGCCTCGATAGATTATCCGATTTAGCAAAAAAGAAAGAAAAACAGTTCATAAAAAATTAAAATTAGGCGTACGTTATTCGGAGCATCTTTGCGAGTGTGAGTGTAGATGGAGCATACGGATCGCTCAATTCTCATCCTCACTCAACTAAGCGCTTATACACTTCAATCTCTTCCACCATAAACTTCTTTTCTCCGGTAAAAAGTGTTTCACCCTTTCCAGTAGTATCTATATAGCTGGATGGGAATGAGGATTCCGACGTTTGATTTATGTTCGCATTGCTAAATATACGAATGTCAATGAAATGTTCTTTGTCTTTTACAACTCCACCAAAATAAGGGCCCACAGTTTTTGCATGACCAATAGCATTATCTGTCTTTGATTTTAAGGTAAATTTAGTCGGTTGTATATCATGTGGATTTCGCAGAGTAAATAAAAATGCATTTGGATCTTTTTTATACGTATTATCACAAGTCCAGGATATTTCTGTATAACCTCCAAATAGATAATTTCCATTTTTACTCTGTATGATAGTCATTGTAGGTCCTCTATTATCCGAACAACGATGAAAGTCTTTTGAATGAAAACCATCTATTGTTGCTTTGTAGATTAATTCCCATTTTTGTATGGCATTACCATAAAAAGTATTCAGTTTCATTTGATAATCAGTAGAGAGAAGTGTGCCACCATACATATCATTATCTGTTGTAGAGTAAGTCAGAACAGAGGCATAATTAATTAATGATGGTTTTATATCACAACGAATCAAATCGGTGTGTGTTTTATTAATATTATCTTTTAATTCATGCAGTTTTTGTTTTAATATCTTCAGTTGTTCAGATGTTACATCATCTTCTTTAATAAAAGTCGTTGTTTCGTTCTTTAATGTATCAACTATTTCTAAATGACTAGTTGTCCGACTTGTAAAAGTTTCTTCATTCTCTTGGAAAAGAAGATCGAGTTTTTGCTTTTTCATTTCATATAAAGCATTGGTGTTTTTTATAGTTTTATCACGCCATTGAGTTAATTTATCGAGTAGCTTTTGTTTATAATCTTTCACGTCGAAAGAACTAATTTTCTCACCCAATTCATTAATATGATCGGCTAATGGATGCAATTCCTGTACAAGTTGATCTGCATGTTCAACAAAATGATGTCGACAAACATTTTTGTTGCAATGATTACATAGTGTCGCAGAGATACGTTGACAACTTTCAACCTCACACGGTTTCAATACGTTTTCCTTCGTTGTAGACGAAGCAGTAGCCATTGTACGAAAAATGTAATTTATATTTGAAGAGAATATGTGCTTTGCATTTGGTCTGAATCAATGTGAAGAAAAAAACATGCAAAATAATAAGAAAACAAAAACGTTTTCTTTTTTTCTCAGTTCTATAAGGTAAATATTGTTGATGGTCTCTCATTTCTCTTTAAATTATATTTTGAGAAGAACAGACGAAAAAGAAAGCCAACTCTTTGAAACAACTTACCTGTCGTCCATTAACAAATGAATGCACTATAGATTGAAAGCACAAGAAAGGAGAACTTTGGTGTTGTTCACTACTGATGTTACAACAAGGACGGGTTTGGGTGTGGATAAGTATATGATGAATTGACTACCCACACTCGCACCCCATTTAGTATATTGATAATGGCTAAGTAAGATTTAAGAGAAAATTTCTCAGATAAGATCTCAATGTTATTGGAAAAGTATATATTTTTTTTCGTTTTTTTCTCTAAAGAAAGATCTAATGAAATCCAAAATATTAAGTCGTCTAGCTTTAGCTATAAAAAAATTGTCACAATAGATACCACTATGTTAAACGTTAAAAGATGGATATATCATTCTTAAACATATCCATTCTCAGGAGAACCATTATCATATACTTTATCAGATGCATAATAATGGAAGAGATGTTCGATTTATGAATTAATTGTTTAGAGTACGTTTCTAATTCTTTTCATAAATCTTTATTTTGACAAAGCACAATAATTCATAGAAATCTATACTAAGCAGTGTTTATTTTCTTTGCTATTAAAGAGGTTACATTCACTTTTGTATATTGAAATACAATATCAGTTCTTCTTCTCGGCATTGTATTTATCTAATATTTATTGTCATAGTGCATAACAATTCTTCTTTGTTTAAACGTTGTCGAATATTGTTCAAAACATATAGTTTTTTGGCGTTTATATAGACACGGTATATAGAATAATATGTATTATGTTCTAAAATCGCTGCGATTTGACTAAATGACAATTGAAACATATGATTATCATTTATTTCTGTTGATTTCACTTCAATATAATATTGTTTCTTATCTTTAATCAATTCAATATCGTGCGGAAAATGAGATTCATCATCTTGATTTAACCATTTAACAGAAACGCCTGGTTGTGAAGAATATTTCTTTTGTAAATATTGATAAACCATTTGTTCGCCATAGTAACCTTTACCATGAGAATGATTTTGCATTGATTCTAAATTCGGTGTTATCATATCTGGTACGTCGATTTCTTCAATAGGTGTCAAATTTTCATCGTTGCTTTGTTTGATAAATAATGAAGACGAATCTAAAGAAAATCAAGAGAAGAATTTGTATCAAGTTTGTGATAATACGCTTTCTGAAAAGCCTTTTGTACTAGAAAAACAAATGTTTCTCCTCGGAAATCAGTAAATCAAGCAAAGTTATCCTCCATGATTTAGACGTAATTGGAGAAATTATTACCGGAGAAAGAACACTTGAGACAAGTAGATAAAGTGTTGCATTCAAGCTTTTTTTCAGTTAGCGAATCGACCAAAAGCTGAGTAAGTTTTTCTGTATTTTGTGATACACATGTCTTCTGATCAGTCGTGATGTTTTTATCTTTCATCGAAATCAATTCATTTGACTTTGATGATGCTGATGTTGGAAGTGTTGTTTCTATAAGATAGAAGTAATGATAGTGAGAATTTTATGTAAAAAACCTGATTTTGATGGCATTTGCAAGCGAACAATATCTTTATGTGTTGGTACTTCTATTGAGAACTTTTTAAAATGTTTAATAATTTCGTCTTTCTGTGCTTTTAATAAAAATCTAAGTTTATCTTCAAATCCCTGTATATTTAATAATTGACATAATCTGTTTGGCAGATCTATTAGTGTTGTTTCTCCATGCCATGGTCGTGTAACATATAAATGTTGATTGTTAATATTATGATAAACGTTTGCTTCTTGAATGAATTTTTCTTTATAAAATAATTTGAGATAATCTGATTCTTTGAAATGAATATCTTGTTGAAGAATTTTGTCGATGGATGAAATGTCATCCGATGGATAATCGAATAACTTCAGCCATTGTTTTAAATATGGTGAAATTTCAATAAGTTTTTCTCGAAATTGTTCGGCTGGAGTTGAATTTTCATCTTGAAGATGTAAATCATTCAATTTGATTGAATTAATTTGAAATAAATCCAAGAATTTCTTTAAATTTGGATGAGTTTTATTTTTCAAATTTAGTTTAAGACAAGGAACAGCATCATTTAAATTACTATGCTCTCCTTTACTTTCAACATAGACATATAAATCTTTTGCTAATTTCCATTGATTATTTTCACCTAGTAAATAAATTTTACGTGCTTGGGAGTTTATCGTTTTTGCTTCAGATTCAGTGTACAATGCAATATGTTTGAGTATATAAGAATATATCATTTGTATACGATTAAGACAATCTTTAGAATTGTTTTCATCTTGACGAAACTTTTCGAATAAATTCAGATAATCGATTAGTAAAGGTTTGGTTTTAAAATTTAAAAAACGAGACCAATCGGAATTGTCTGGTGAGATAGAAATAGAAGGAAACGGCATATATTGATTACAAAATTCTTTTATCTCTTGATCATCAACAAATACATTGCTTGATAATTCACACGTATTCAAAGTAGTTGGAATACATGTGTTATTTTTTATGAACCATTCAATATAATTAGGATATTTTATTTGTGTTCCATTAATTGCACCCGACATATACGAATGACCCCAATAGATTTTGGTGTTCTGTTCGAAATCATTTACTTTAATATTTTTAATTACATATAACCAAAAATATTTTGAAAATTCATAATTATCTATGAGAAAGACTGAAAATAAAATTATCTATGTAACAAAATATTTTTACCTTTTGTATATTTTAAAAATGTAATCGTTTTTATTCCAGAATATGCCTCAATCGTATGATATACTTCGAACTTTTTTAACAGATATTTTAGACAAAATCCATGTTGAGCAGCTTCATCAATGGTTAATTTCTGTGGAAATTCGACGATATGTAGTTCATCACGAACACCTAACATAGAAAAAAAGCGTCGCCATTCCGGTACACTTTCACTTTTGTTGCTGAGGATATTTTTTGTTACGTAATTGAATGATAGAAATACATCTTCTTTTGTTTTCAAATATTCTTCAAGTGTTAATCGTGGTTTGAATTCATCAGAGAAAAAACATCGCTCAGCCGAGATGAAATTTCCTTGCGTTGTTAATAATTTTAGTTGTCTCAATTGATGAAGTTCTTTTTCTATAATTAAATTATTTTGAAATAATACAAACAGCATTTTTATTGTTTTCATCGCGTTTTCTGATGTAATATAAGTAGATGCATTTGGAATAATTGTTTTATATAAATAAGTTAAATCAGTTCGTTCTATGACACCCAAAGTTTGCAACCATTGTTTAATGTCTTGCTGCTTATTTTCATTTAACCATTTAAAGATTTTTATATTAACAAATGAATAACTTGTTTCACTATCACCAAATGTTTCACCTGGAAAATAAATATTTTTTATCGTTTGTAAGCGATTATTTTGATCCATTAAAAATGGAATTTGTTCGATTTTTATTCCTATATCATCGGCTACTTCACCTTTCGATAGTTTTGAATAAAAATATTCGATCATCAGTTTATTTTGGTCAATCGAATGAGTTCTAAGAAATTCATCAGTTTTAAACATTTCAATACAATTTTGCCAATTAAATTGTCTAACACCAAGCCGATATAAATTCGAGTCAAAATCAATAAAGGGCTGTTCTGCACACTGGAAAGTACTTTTTTTATAGTGATTAATAACATATTGACGCATTGAATTAGTACTTATAAAAGATGGTTGTCTCGACAGTGATGTTAAATCCATAATAACTTCATCTACCTAGAAATCATTTTATATATAAAAAATATTTGCATCATGTCTGAGAAGATTAAAATATAAAACAGTTTTCAGAATATGTCGTGTCAGTTCTGTTAGTTTTTAGTAGTTTCTCGACAGAATTAACCCATTCGTCTGGACACACGGATGAAACTCATTTAGCAATGTCTACTGCGATTAGAGCTCGTATAGGTGCAAAATTATTGAGTTCGTACCCGAAAGTGAATCGTAGTCTAAACACTCCTTGTGGGAGATTATCAATTGTGGGTGTCATCTTCTTTGCTTCTATATCTACACCCACACCCTCAAGTTTAAAGTCATAGATATAAGGTACCTGTTTCTTATACGCAACAGTAGTTACGTCGTATTTCGCATTTTAATCCTACAGAGATTGTGCTGACAACTTATTTATTATAAATAAACTTAAGTCAACATTTTCGAATCTTACTCGTAATTGATTTTTATTTTCTCTGCCGAGAATAAAGTCACGATCTTTGACGGCCTTATCAAATGATTTATCGAATTGTTCAGACAAACAATTATTTGTTAAATTCAATTTCATTGGAATAAGTCGATAAGCTTCAAAACGAAATTGATCATTTGTAACCAACTCTTTTATCCATTTAAATATTTCGCTGCCTATTTTTTGAAATAACCATTGATTCCAAGACGAATCTACGTATAAGTAAGAATATTTAAATATAAAGACACATTTCTTATTGTACGATGAAAAACAGACCTGTATGAATCTGTTCCCGATTTGCATTTGTTAAAAAATTCGCATTTATTAAAATTGGAAATGTATAATCGACAATTTTTGTAGGTAAATAAGAAAATAAATGTGATTCTTTATCTTGTAATCTGTCGATCGTACTTGTATGGGTTATTTTTCCATTTTCATCAATTATAGAATCTTTATATTTTGCAGCAAACAACATTTCAGCTTTTTTTATCCCACGTAATTTATCTGGTACTTTGCAATCAGCAATTAATTTCTGTCGAATTAATTTTGGCACTTCTAATTCAAGTCGTTTAATAATCCATTGTGAATGAATCTTTTGATTATAATAAATTTTTTTCGAACCATGATTAGCGTCACATTCAATAGATACAATATCTGAAGTTTCAGTGCGAAATGCCATTTGAGAAATATGTCTTAGAAATAGAAACATATGTGGTTGTTGTTTTAACTGTTCAATAGCCTGACAAATTTCTGCAGCATTATTCAATAAAATAATGTTGGCAACATGAACTGGTATTTGACTAGAACGAAAAAAATCTAGAATGAAAGTTGAAATTTCATCTTCATTCATCCATATTGGATTGATTTGCCAGGGATGAATAAATTGTCGATCGTTTTCTTTCTCCCATATTTCTTGGTTCTCAGTTCCCCATTGTACATTCCATTTTATTCGATATGAAGAATTAAATTGAAAGTATTCACCATTTGAATAAATAATAACATTATTTGATTTTCCAAAAACAGCTTTGAATCCTAAACCTTTATAACCTGTTTTATCTAAATCTTTCTTTTTTGTACCATTGTTAATACCACATAAACCTTGTAGATCTTTTTCATCGAACGGTTTACCTAAACAAGAAAACTGTCAGTACATTAATTGAATAAGGTATACAAATTTGATTGGTATTTCATAGATTCAAGATCACATTTCTAAAAAACGGATGTAGGTGTGGATATGCGTCTAAGAGACGAAGAGACTATCATGCACTAACACACACACACATTTTAATTACCATCATGAGCAATAATTAAATATTTATTGTTGAGAATTGCCAGAGTAGCATGTTTCGCTGCAGCATCATCAGCATTTTGTATTAATTCGTAAATAAATCGTATATTATCCGTATATAAATCACTTGATAAAGATCTTAATGATTCAGCTTGATTTATCGTTTGTTGTGGAAATTTATAATCTGTATTTGTCGTAGAAAGTTCTTCAATATATCGTTTTAAACTTGTCTTCTGCGTCGCCATTTTTAAAGTGCTATGAAAATATAAATAACATGTTTTTCATTACTGACTCTCTTTCTTTTCTTTCTGTCTGCCTTCGTCTAATGTGGCTTTTATTTTTCCACATTGATGCATTTCTATCTACCGTAGACAATGTGTGTTTTTCTTTTTCTTTCCTCGTCTATAATTAACAAACAAAGATACGGTTATAGTAGTTCAAATACGACAAAAGAATATATATATGCTGAACCAACATTACTAGAGAGGCAAACGGCAGCACTACTTTCCTATACTGTTAAACACATTGTTCTGAAATAGTTTAAAATATATTATTCTATGTGGCTGCTATAACAACAATGTTGTTGATCAAAATCAAACATGTACATAAATGGTTCTTTTTGAAAATCAGAAAAAAAACAGAATGGAAAGAAAAAAAAGCATTAATATGTTATATGATAAAACAGACCTGCGCAAACAGTATTACTTGCTTAATAATGCGTAACTTCATCAAGTTTTTCTTACCATGTGTCGATAGAAAAAAATGAAGAGAAAGTTATTTTCTATAGTATGGTGCGTTTTTTTTTCTAATGGTATATGCGTAAAAATATCAATCAATAAAAAGGAGTGTGGGTATCAGAAGACTAAGACCCACACTTTGAAGATGGTTAAGCCTGATACCAAATCATCTCGAGTGTAAATTTGATTATGAGAACTGACAGCATTTGTCGTTTACATATGCATCATACTTGATATTCCATTTTTTCTTGGATTACGTGAAATCGCTGAGTGTCTCCATTCATGTAAGGGTTTAGAACTCACAGAGTTCGGACGCGTCTAAACTAAGGTTAAAACCGATTATTATTCACATCTTTTGCTTGATAAAAACTTGTTTTCTACTTTCTGGTAGAGCGATTGTGACTTCTGATAAAAGCACTAGAGAAAAAAGTCAAGGAAAAATAAACTAGTTGGTCGTATTAACAACGATGGAATGTATGGCAACGCACATAGTAAAGGGACGGATGAAAATATTCAACATCAGGAAAAGCTATACTGTTGTAATTAGACATACATAGCACAGAAAGAAATAAAACTAAAAGACAAGAGAACAAATAAAATGCTACGTTAAGAATTTTCTCCGTTGCTTTACAGCATTTTGACTATTTTTATGTTCCCCATTGACTATCTGTTCTGGAGAAAAAAAGAATTTCGCAAAAATCTAACGACGATACAATCTTTTAATGAAATTGAAAGTGTGTTAGAGTTTTTTGAAATTTTATATGAAGGGTGTGGGTGTGGGTGTGGTGCCTTGTATTTGTCTCTATTCCATACCAACACCCATCCACAGTACTTCACTTTCGCACAACCCTAGTTCATAGCGTGTAGATGTCTCCATCGTACAGAACCACGGACTTACCTTTCGTCGCTACACTATACTCGATAATCATAATTCTAGTTGCCATGATGAAGAAGAAACTGTAAATAGAATAAAACGAGTCAACTGACAGACGCTATGCATATCAGCGAGCAAAAATTGAGCCTATGACCAGCAAAGTGTTTGCAATTTGGAGCAGGAGAAATCGCATTGCTCTCTTTTCTATTACGTTCCAAAAAACAACACTTTTCATTAAATTAGTCAGTGCAAAACTGAATTATGAGCTCAGGTTTTTTAACAAAATAACATCACATCGTAAATGGAATGATTAGTCATCAAAGTGTCTGTCGACAAAATGTCTGTTGATAAACGGTGTTATCTATGAATAAGATGTCATTCGTAAATACAACATTCTTCTTTCATTCTTTTCTTCGTATTCCGACGTTTATTAAATATTTTTCTTTTTCAAAAAGAAACACAATAAATTTGGCTTTAGTTACACTTTTAATATACATATTATATATTTGCGTAAGATAAGTGCCAGCAAAAAAAAATCATTGATCGAATATTATGTCTGATATAATACGGTACGATTATAATGATCATTGGAAAGAAAAACAAATTACTCTTGAAAGAGTTTGTATCATTAATTTTAAATGTTTATTTTAAACTAGTTTTCTTTGTTTTTTTTTCAAAGACAAACAGTAGCCATGGATCATTGGAATTTACTATTACAGGAGGGATTGATTTACCTTTTATAAATCATCATTTTAAATTTATTATTATTACGAAGATTGCTGAAAATGGTCTTGCATATAGAGATAAACAATTAAAGTAAGCAAGTGTTTTTCGTCAATAATGATCTTTTTATTTATCATTTTAGATTATATGATATAATATTACGTGTGAATAATATCGATTTTAAAAATATAAAACATCAAACAGCTGTTGATATTTTGAGAGCATCGGGAAAGAAAGTGCAATTGGTAAGCAATATAAGATGTATATATCAGTATCATTGTTTATTTATTATATATTTAGTTGATTCGACGTCTCGCACCTTTGTATAGTGAAGAGATTGAATTGAAGCATAGTGGAAAATTAGGTATTTATATTAGAGGTGGAATTGGAGATGACTATTTTGTGAAGTAATTATCAGCATGATTATTTTCACTTTTCTTGAACTAACGTGTTTTTTATTTCTACAGTGATCATGGCATATTTATAACAGACATAACTGAATATCAAACTAATAAACAGTTACACATCGATGATCGATTATTACAAATCTCCTCCGCGGTAAAAATATCTGACATGGTTGTTTTTTTGCACAAGCGATGTATTTTAGTTTAACACGTACGATTTACGATTTGTTACATATGAATATGCCAAAAAATATATACGATTAGCTTGTAGAGAAAGTCGAACGATTAAACTATATGTTGCACATACAAGACACACTGAACGAGTGTAAATGTTCTTTAAAATTTTTATAATATCTAATGTTTAACTTCTGCTTCTTATAGACAAATTAAACAAACTATTTTACATCAAGGACAATATGATCATTTAGGCTCGAACGATGGAAGTAATGTAGCTGTGACTATATCTTTCTTTTCTCTTATGAATGTCATTCTGTTTGATAAGAACATGTTCAAGTCAATAAAAACAACTATGGGACTGCATTGAACACGAATCACAGGATGATATCTAATCCTACTGATGAATATGATGTGCCGAACAATACAATGCGCAATGAAAACGAATCGATTATGTCATCCACTTTTGATGGTATATACAAAGAATCATATTAAATAACTTGCTTCTCTGCAATCATTTTAGATTATCCAAGATATGAAAATCGTTTGTTAAATAGTCGAGATATCAATCGTTCAACAGGATTTCTGCCACAAGAGCGTTCACAAGCAAATCCTATTGGGTGAATATGATCGTTGCCTTGTTAAAGTATTCTATAGAAATCCATTTTCAGATCAGTAATAACACAACCGGAAATTAATCGTCAAGAAATTCAAAAGAGTCAAAATCTTAAAGTAAGTATTGCTTCAGAATTTGATTTAAAACTATTCTTCTCACAATGCAATTTGTTCAGTCAGATATTAGACTATATTAGTGAGTTTTTATGTCAGTCATTTAATACAGAATTAACCCTATGTTGTTTGTTTTAAATATTTGTTTTACGAGTTCTTTTTAGCAACCCGTTGATAGTACTGACCCAAATGCTGCTATCGAACAGGAAACTACACAGGAATTAAAACTTAGAGAAGCAGCGATTCGTAAGTTGTACTGATTATTCTTTTAATTCATTCTGTTTTTGTTGTATGTTTTTTCTAGGCGATGCTCATGAGGAAAGGATGCGACGTCAAATAAGTAGAATGGATCACATAGCACGTAAAAATAAGGATGGAACAAGTGGAGGATTACGAGTAAGCCAATATTCTTTAAAAATAATATAATCTGTAAGCTATAATATTTTTTTTTACTATATATAGTGGCACATTGATTAAACTGGTATTTGTAAAGAATTGGCAGAGACATGAAAACATGCAATTAACAAGATCAAGATGCATAAAATGAACTATCTTTTTCTTGTTCTACAAAACGAAAAATTACTACGTTTAATAAAATATAGACGAAGAAAAACACCATAGATAATATTAATAACATAATGGTGTATGCCATTGCTTTTCTCAGTGTTTATTTATAAGTCCGGATAAGATCCATGGCGCCAATAGAGCTCGTAGTTTGCGAGTAAGGATGTAGGTATGCGCTCTTCATATCCACTCTTCAGATGGTTAATCTTCTATTTCTTCTGATTAACTGAGAAGAATTCATAAGTATCGCAAACAATATATTAGGTAGTTTTATTCTATACAGAATTAAAGTTCTTCAAGAAATTTGACAGTAAGCATATCATAGAACAATTCAAGTGTGAGAATAGATGATAAAAAGAATACTGTCTTATAATTATCGCGTACTCTATCGTCGTGTATATGTTAATTGTTTTTAATTTGAGGATATTTTTAAAATGGAAGTATTTGTTCGATCTGATCAATCAGTTTTACATTCTCAACAGCCATTTGATGATCGTACTACTTATCGTACAGATTATATTCTTTGATAACAGATCGAGAAGATTTTATATCAAATGATGGTACGAAAAAAAAGACAACATTTTCTTCTACATTTCTTCCCTTGTTTGAACTGATCGAATATGTTCAATGAAATGAGATCAACAATGCATTATCATTCAAAATGCTCCTTTTGGTAACACAACAACCAGTAAAACAGATTATAAACCTTGAGAAGTACAACCCATTCAAACACATAGACTTGCTGAGTATTGAGCAAATACTGATGACATGGACTTAAATACAACTGATATAAATGAATATTATTTACCAAAAGAAGAAAAATGAGAGAATGACCAAAAAAAACTCAAATCTCTTCCTAAAATATAACAGCAACGAAGTAATATTTTTATTTATTTATTTAACAAATGATGAATGAATATCTCATATCGAAGAAAAAATGAAAAATAACGTTGACGAACATTTGTCGAATAGATTTGACCGTCTTGTTTCAAATGTTCCACTGTTTGTCTAAATAAAAAATCCAAACTTATTAAACTTATTTTTCACCACACTCATTGAATTGTTTACAAATGTCTGCTATAATAACACCGGTTGGCAGTACAGTTTTCAAGTAATTAAGAATGGTCATACTGGCATGTAAAAATTCACTTGAATTAGGATTTTGTGTACTTAATGATTGTAGTTGACTGACAACAGGTACATTATCAGTTGTTTGACTACTAAGTTGAACTGGACACTGTTGATTATTGACGTGTTTGTTATGCTTTATTTATATAAATAATAAATAGGGCATCGAGTTCGTTTTCGTTACAGCATCACTAACTTCTTTTATTTAAACAAGTACATATATATAGATAGAAAAGAAAGAAAAACACGAAAGAAATTATAAAAGTGTAGATGTCCTTTCTGAATCATAACCGTGTTCAATTAATATTCAGATTGTTTTTGCTTGAAAATGTACTTGCGCATCTTTGACATGTCTCTCAGTAAAAGCATCAATTTTGCTTGAAATTACTCCTTCTTCACATTGCTGATATGTAACTGTTCGTTCAAGAAGCGTTTTGAAATCATCTTCCTAAATGTAATAGATCAACATTAAAATATTTTTAAGTCTTATAAACTTTTTCTTAAGCCTAACATTATTTATTTTAAAGCATCGTAAAACGTATCAATGGTGCAGCAATTTTTGCAAAGTTTTTGATGAATCGCCTGTAAAACTGGGCCATCTGTACAAACGAGTATGCTTCTTTAGATGTTGTAGGTATAGAAAAATCCATGATTTTCTTTATTTTATTTTTAACTTGACATTAGCTTTTTCTAACGCATGAAGTACTAGATCGATGTATTAGATGTATTTTTCATATGACGGCGAAAAAAATAATTACATCATCTAAATATACGACTGTAATATCCCACCGGAACGCTGCTAAGATGGAGTTAATAATTCGTTGAAAGAATGCCGGTGCGTTAGACAATCCAAATGGTAGAACGTTAAACTGGTATAATCAGTCTTGTGTCATGAACGCGGTCTTTGTTTTATCCTCTTCGTCAATTGGGATTTGCTGATAGCCACTTTTAAGGTCTAACTTTGAAAAGTATTGTGATCCGGTCAGTTTATCGATGATGTCTTCAATGCGCGGCAGAGGATATACGTCTTTTTTCGTAAGCAAGTTTACGCGTTAATAATCGACACAGAAGTGAGGTTTGCCGTCTTTCTTCTTAACGATGACGGCCGGTGCTGACCATGGGCTTGAGCCTGGATGGATTATGTGATTATTCAGCATTTCTGTAACTTGTTCATTGATGATTTGGATCTCTTTCGTTGCCTTTCGATATGGATATGACTGAATCGGTTGATGGTATCTTGAGGGTGTGGATGTAGTATGAAATAAATATTTACATAACATCCAACCAGGAATGTTCATGACTAGTCGATTAATTTTGCACTAAACTATTCCATTAGTACTTTGAATAGTTAAAATAACTAAATGAATCATCCAAATAATCTTTCTTACAATAGAAAAAGAAGAAAGATGTGTCATACAGGTATTTCATCATTCTTCGATTCGACATGATGAAAACTTTCGCAATATGATTTTCGATTACAAAAAAAAAGAAAGATGTATAGCTCCTGAGTGGACTCGAACCACCTGTCACCCGGTTAACAGCCGGGTGCGTTTACCACTTACGCCACAGGAGCACATCATATAAGACTGTCATAGTTACTTTTATCATTAGAAAAAAAAATAGTACTAACAATACATTTCTTTTGGTTTATTAAAATGAGTGCAGAATATATTGCATCGTTTTATAATGCAAGATCTCAACTTGTTCTTAGCCGTTGTTGCGAAAAGAAAACTGATAATTTTTCCTGCGATAATAGATGTAGACTGAACAAGAATACGAGTGTTAGTGTAACTGAAATTCTCATACATAAAGAACCTATATCCATGTCCGATCATTGATAAATAGTAGTTAACATATGGTAATAAACTCATTTAGTGTATTTTATAAATATAAGGTAAAATATGTATAAGTTTCATGATTTTAGCTATGGAACGTACTCAGTATAGTCTCATGTATGAAAAATAGAATTGACTTACTTGTGATACAAAGAAAAGTAATCATACGGTCTCTTTTTTTGTTTCTCTCACATAACTAACAAGAGAAATTTGTGTTTTTTTGTGCGTAATATTATCTCGTTCATTAAATGCGCTATGCATTCGAAACGATGTTTTTTTAGATGATTTTTTATTTTTATTTGAAAAGTTAATAAAAACCAAAGAGAACAAGAACTAAGATTATCAAAAAATATATAATAAGTAAATAAAAAAACGAATAATTAGTTATTACTGTATGTAACATCTTTGGAGGAAGATTCTGTTCATTTTTACTATAGATATTACAAGAGAGAGAATTATTTACTTCTGTATGTACCATAGCTGGAGCTGGAGGAAGATTCTGCTCATTTTCATTATGAATATCACAAAAGAGAGAATGATTTACTTCTGTATATACGATATCTGGATCTGAAGGAGGATTCTGCTCATTTTCATTATATATGGGAAACTCATTGGCATACTTTAATGTATATTCTCGAACAATTGAATTATATTCTCTACGATTCTCTCTAAAGTATCGAGCAGCTTCATGATTGATAGGATTATCCATGGCAGGAGTATCAAGAATAGATGATATGGAAAGTAAAATATTTTCAATTGTTAATACCGCACGCCAGTCATCTTCCAAAATGCGAATATATATTTTACCAATTGAAGAAATATTTGGATGAAACATATTTGTTTTCATTGTACATTGCGGAGGTTTAAATGGATATTCATCAGAACAAATAATATCGAGAATGAATATACCACCTTCAAACGGTGTATCAGATGGACCTAGAATTGTTGCACGCCAATGGAATATATCATTTTTGATTGGTTCAGCAAATATATAATCAGGTGCATTTTGTTCAAAATCTTCCCGTTCTCGATTTAATTTTCTTGTTGCTATCATTATTGAATAGAAAATCTAAGTGATAATGTAACTTGCTATTTATTAATTACTTTCTAAAAAAACAGTCAGTAGCAATGTTATTTGTTCTATAAACATTTTGTATAAAAAATATTACTAAAACAATTTATTTTGCATTTCATATTGTTCTCTTTCATTTGCGACAAAAAACTCACTGAGAAAAATGTGTCTTCACTTCCTTTCTCTTTCCAAATATCTGTGATGCATATGACTAATAGTTACAATATAAGTTAATGTTTTTGATGTGATCGAAACAGTTGAAATAAAAATAACAAATGTATAATTCAGAGAGAAAAGAAAAAAAGTGAAAAAAAGCTTACTTGGAAAGATGAAAGTGAATTGCTGTTGTCTACAAACAGCAAATTCAGGTATAAATCAGTTTGTCCGTAGATGTAAGTGGGGACGCGGATAGGTGTACATGTGCATATTATGTTCTAATTTCTACTCTTCAAAAAGGAAAACGAGATGCTTTGGAATCATGTTTTTTCTATGTAAAGTTGATTTTAACTGATCTCACTAAGTTGCTGTCGATAGAAAGTCGTGCATCAACAAGGAATATTTATGACTAATCGATAAATTTTGTACTAAACTTCCATTACAGCTTTGCATGGTTACAATAAATAGATGAATCAGCCAAATAATCTTTCTCGCAATACAAAAAAGAAAAACATGTGTCACACAGGTATTTCATCATTCTTCGATTCGACATGATTAAAACTTTCGCAATATGACTTTCGATTACAAAAAAAAGAAAGATGTATAGCTCCTGAGTGGACTCG